GATAACGATCGAGTTCCTGGTAAATCGGAATTTTGTTGCGTGTTTTCGATCCTACGACACCAATCGAATTCCTTGCCTACAAATACTCTGATTGACTCCTTGATTGAATATTTCATATCCTATTATCGTTTCGTTTCGTTCAATATAATTTTGATATAGAAGTAATTTTCGAAGAAGATTCAAGAGAGAGAAAAAAATTAACGAGTTAAAATCATTCGATAACAGGAACAGATCGAATAATATCGTTTGACTAAAATTGAAAATACGATGGGTCGCATGTTGCTTGTTTTCGATGATTCTCGATTTTTCAAATAATCTGACAATCCTAAAAAACGCGGGATTAGCTTCGATGAAATATCACTGGACTGTATTTCGCGAGAAACGAGGAGAGTCGATTTATTCGAATAGGAAAAATCGTTAGGTGTCGAGGAAAATGAGAGTATATATAGTATATATTGTATTTAAAAGAGAAAAAAAGATTAATGAATAATTCATTTGCTTTTGATGAAAAAAATGCATTAAACTAAACTTTTAAGATATAATAATAATAAATTTTTTTTTATATAGTTATTACAAAGATTAATTATGCAGCATTATGTATAAATAATATTTAGATAGACTAATTAATTAATGTATTTCATTTTGTATTATTTAATTTGTTAATTGTATTAACTATTATATATTTGAATATATTCATCACGGAGAAATTGCAATTTTTTGCGTTGCAAAAAATATGATGTTTGTATCATTTGAAAATTTGTATATAAATTAATAAGATATTTTTAAATAATTTGAAATATAAAAAAAAATAAGAAAGTAACAAATTTATTTGAAAAAATAAAAAACAATATTTAAAAAAAATCAAAATATTTACCATGTTTTTTAAAATGTTTACCGTGCCATTACGTATCATATTTATTTTGTATCGTATCTTATTTTCCAAAATAATATTGTAAAAACAAATTCTGAATTCAGAATTATAGAAATAATTTATTATAGATTCTGATAAAATTCTAATTTATTATTTTTATTTTATACATTTGATTTTTTTCCTGTAATAAGAAAATAATGAATGATTAAATTTTATCAATAATATCATTGATTAATAAAATTATTATTTTAATTATTAATATTTTAATTTTAAAATAAATTTTTTTACAAATTAATTTAATTTATTTATTATATTTGATGAATATAGTAATTAGTACTTAATTATAATTATAAGAATGACACAACGAAAAAAATCAATCAAAGAGAGTATGAAAATATTGAATCAATATTTTGAAATTAATTATTTTTTGTTTTACATGACCTTAAGCGATATTCAATAATCTTCAACGTCTTTCAAATACACGATGAGATTTATCTCTATTATTAAATAATTGATATATCTTGAGATCAATTAGATTACGTCAACTCTTATCTTGTAAGAAGCATATATTCTATGAAGCAGAGATTTGAAATAATTCTAAATGATTTTGATCCTAGTATCTATTAGAAGTTACGAGATATCTCGATACATATCAATGTGTAGAATGTGCTTATCAAAAACTAAGCAAAAAATATATTATTTTATTTTAAAAAATGAATATCTTTTTTACAATAGTTTTACATATAAAAAATTATACTAGGAATATATTAAGATTATGGCTCAAAATCAAGTTTTGGCATGATTCATTCTATTATCAATAGAAAATAATTATTCGGATAATTTATTTTGTATGTCACACTCTATAGAATGAGATCTTCATATTGTATAATCATGGCTCGAAATTAATAGGAGATAACGACCGGATTCTGCGGAAGATTAAACGATTGTCGGTGAGACATAAAATCGGTTGTTACTCGTTCGCGATGAAAATCTATAGATCGAGTGATTAAATTGACAAATAGCTCGGTTTGGTTAACGATGCTAATGACGCTTTATGTTCGCTGATGATTTGCAATAGCAATTAAATAGGAGGTTAGATTAAATTTCTATGCGCCATTTTTATGACATGGAGACTGAAAATCATTATAAGATCGAAGAAAATAGATTTTCGAAATAAAAAATAAATATTTTTATTTGTTCAAATGTCAAGATATCATAAGTAAAATTTTATTAAAAATTATAGTTTTATAAATAAATAATATTTCAGACGTATATTTTATTACTATTTTATATAAATAATAAATAATAATTGTGAAATGAAATAAAATATAAGAAAATGTTAGTATAAAAAATAATATTTATTTCAAATAAATAATTTTTAATTTTAACATTACAAGTATATTAAATTTTTATTATTGCATAGAAGTTGTTAAAATGTTCGTGAAATTTCTTTATGGATAATCAATTTTAGAATTAAAACAAATAAATATTTAAAAAATATTAATATTAATAATATTAAAATAATAATACTTCATATACTACATATATATAAAGACATAAAATGTCTTTAATATTAATATCATTGCAACACAATATATTGAATTCATATTACTTATTATATATAATAACATACTACGTCAAAAATTCTATTTCTATTTTTGATATGTAAACAATAAGAAATAAAAAATAAAATATAGTTATTTTCGGTCTTATTGTACTTCATTTAAACATTGAATTTAAATCTAAATATAATAGTAAATGATATTTATTCGTGATTTAGATATTAAATAAAAAATATTATTTTCAAATAATATTTATTCATAGAAATATTTTTATTTTTCGATTTATTTCAAATTTTTTTTAATTCGGAAAATAATCACTAGTGATATCTGATATGACGCTAATAATGCGATTGTTAGATGGAAAATATGTGCCTAATACAATTAATGAATCGATTATCTTCGTGGCCATAACGGTTCTTAATTACGTATTTGCTTCTCGCATGAAGAAATAGATAATCTCGCATAAATAGAAATCAATCAAAGACAAATTTAAAGAAAAAGAAAAATATAGATATCATAATTAATTCGTTTGCTATACGAAATTATCGTCAATGTTTGATCATGATTGCTTTTCTGTAGCTTGTGTTCGACCAATAATTGATTTGTTAATTTTATTGTTTTATTTTTTTTTCTATAAGAATTATATTAAATTTGATTCATATATGCACACGTAATTTTAAAGCTTTAAGCTACTTTTTTCTTTAATTTAAAAATTTTAAATAGAATAAATTTTAAATGATTAATGAATATTCACAAAATTAAAAATATTAGGCTTTTTTTGAAAGAATTTGAAATTATTTGATTTTGTGCTAGAAAATATTTATATAATTTTTTATAATAAATTATAAATAATAATAAGTATATCTTTTATAAGTTATATATATATATATGTATAATATATAATAATGTATATAATATATAATAATGTATATAATTATAATTTTGCGTTAATATTTGAATCTATAGGAATCAATTAATTAAAATATATCATTATTAAAAAAGGAAATTTTTTAATTTTTATTTAATTGTAAAATTCATATAATTCATTTCAGCAAATGATTTTAAAAATTGAGTAATAATATTGAATAATTAGAGAATTTTTTCAATGTTAATTATTATAATTTATATAATAAAAAATTTAACAATAAAAATTTGGTGTTAAATTAAAAATATGATGAATTTTACGATGAGTATTACGATATATCAATATCAGTTATCCTTCAATTTTTGTTATTATTTCTTTTTGTGATATAATCAGATAAATCCTCACCTGTCATCTGTCCAAAGCAGCAATGACACTACAGAAAATTGCAATATTTTATTCCAATATATCATATTATTTCATGAAAAACCAGATAAATTTTATATTTCACGTTTTTTCCTGTCATAATTTGTTCTTAAATTATTCAAATTAATAATTTTTCTGTTTTTAATTTTGAATATTATTTTAATGAAAATTAAAAATAAAATAATTGTCTCTCATATTTTTTGATTATTTTATTTGTGTACAAAATTTTATAAAAATTAATATATTAATTTTTGTATGCTTTCGATTATTCTTTCATGATGACAACATCATGCATACGATAATTATTGGATGTATGAAGTATTTCATAACATTGTCCTGTTCAATTTATTTATGCGAGTGAATAATTCGTAGTTGAATAATTCATCATATCATATGAATGTTATTATTTATCATTATTTCTATGTTGATCTTAATAAAATGAACAATTATTTATTCCATATTCAAAATTGAAATAGCAATTTTGAATCTCACGAAATCTGCCATTTAAATACTTCCATTATATATATCATATTCATATTTATTATAAATGAATCGTTATTTATGAATTATTATATATAATTATAATATTCTGTGAAAATGGTTTAAAATTAATGTCAGTTTTCTTTATCTATTAAAATATTTCATTTCATTTTTTCGCATGTCATCATTTCACTGAGTGGCAATATTTATATATTTATCCATTTATTTTGTTATGGATAATATAAATTCATTGTGTAAAATATTGACATATATTTCTGATTTGATTCATGAAATTCTAATCACGAATCATTTTATATGATTGAAATTCTTGGTTGAAAATTAATCACTAATGATCCAATAATAATCTCCATTCAATAAAAGATGATCGTTTTGAAATCAGACAATTGTATAAACATAACTTCTTTATAGAAAAATTGATATAATTATATTATATAATTTTAATATATAATTTTGATTTTTGTTTTATAAAAAAAATATCATATTCGTTGTTTATTTTTTTTTTTAATGAAACCACATATGATATAATGAAATGATTTTAAATTGATAATAATAATATTATTACGATCGTTATTTTTATGATTCTTCGATATGTCATATACTTTAATAATTGAATAGAATTATATAATAATTTGTTTTAATGATTAATAATTTATTCTTTATTTATTTATATTATATATTGTAATTATGAATTTGTTGGTTGAAATATTTGCTTGATTATTTGAATAAATTGTTTGATTGCTTGAGCATATGTGTTGAATATATGGAATACTTATATGACTTCTTGAAATGAAAATTTGTGACTAGAATATTTTTTAGTGGTTAACTGAAATACATTTTGATTCAAAATATCTACCTTTCTTAATAAATATAGAATTAGTTGTTGTTAAAAAATTAATTTTTCAGTCGCAATTGCAGTTTTAATGATATTATGAATCGTATTCTTAATATATATTCTTGGACATGAGAGATTCAATTTTTTTGGAAGATTACGAGTTTTCTTTTAACTAAAAATTGCAATTTATGTTAAATTATTTTTCGAAAGTATCGAAATTATAATCTTTGGCTATTAAGTAAGAGAAGTCTAAAAATTATTAGTTATTATTAATTATATATATATTATTAGTTATTATTTTTAATGAAATAATTAATAAATATATTCCTTTAAATGTTTCATTCAAAAATAATTTTTATTTGCAATTGCACTAGATAAATATTATCATTCTTCTTTTCATTCGTTATCACTTTTTCTCATTCCATCATATGTTTTTTCCTCGTTGAAAATATCAACAAAAAATCCAATGAAATTATAAAATTACAAATTGACAGACACTGTTTCTTTAATTTACAGAGGCAAATTTCGAATTATTGCATTATATATAGAAATAGATTACAAAGGAACAAAAAAGAAAGAAATTCTCTATACAATAAAAAACAAAAAAAAAAAACACAATTCATCATCCAATTTGTTTTAACTTCACGCATTCACATTCTCGTTTCTATTCTAATTTATCTCTTATTTACTGAAATATTACTCTATCGCAGATAATAACAAAGATTGAAATATCAACATATTACCGAATTATTCCATATGATTGTTGTCGGGCTGAAAATTGACCGCTATTCAGATATACGCTGAGACAAATCTCTGTATCGTTTCTCACCGTATTCCTATGACTACTATCGTTAATCCTGTTTCACGAACGCGCAGAAAGGAGGGGATAGTGTGTTATCCATGAAATGTTGGTCGAATTTGTCGAAACGACGCGTATATTCCGCACATGTGGTGCGTGGACATATCCGGTTATTGCTAGCGCGCTAATCAATTAGGGAAACGTTATTCGCCAACGATCGGGGAGAAGTGTTCGTGTTTCTGGACGATCGTTTGAATGGTGTTGAAGTCGACGAACCAAAAGGGATGATTCCACATCGGTCACTTATTATCCAGTCGGTCCAATTAGAGATCTGCGCTTTCGTTAACATCGATTTCTTGAAGAAAGCGTTTCCTTTTTTCTTCTGTCTATACTTTTGTTTATTATAGATTATTGGATGTTTGTTAATTTGAAAAATAAATTTATTAACGATTTAAGCGTAAAACAACTTTTTAACGTTGTTTCATCATTGAAATTGTTTTAAGATCTGTTTTGAGATGTTTACAAGTAATATTTTAAGTTTATTTTTTAAAATTATTTGAGAAATAATTTATTTTTGAAATAATATAAGTAAATATTTTCAATGAAAGTAAATAAATATATTTTTAATTAAATGATTTGTTTAATATTTCGTCCAATGAATTATTTATATTATTATTAATTATTAGTTATTATTATTAATGATTTAAGCATAAAATAACTTTTAATTTTTTGACATTAAATTTCACTATTGAAATTATTGTTTTAAGATCTGTTTTAAGAAGTTTTCAAGTAATATTATTTTAAGATTAATTTTTAAAATTATTTAAGATTAAATGATTTGTTTAACATTTTGTGTAATGAATTATTTATATTATTATTAATTATTAATTATTATTATTAATGATTTAAGCATAAAATAACTTTTAACTTTTGATATTATGTTTCACCATTGAAATTATTATTTTAAGATTTGTTTTAAGAAGTTTTCAAATAATATTATTTTAAGATTAATTTTTAAAATTATTTGAGAAATAATTTATTTTTGAAATCATATGAATGAAATATTTTAAACAAAATTAAATAAATATATTTTTAATTAAATGATTTGTTTAATATTTCACGTAATGAATTACTAATATATAATATTATTACATATTTATCAGAATGAATTATATTTATTATTTAATATATATTCTGAGAGTTATTTCAAAAACGAAGATTAAGAAATTATTCTATTATTGAGAAATAATAGATAATTATTTGAGAAAAACAAATGTTATTTTCTCAAATAATCAATTCTTTAATTTACTATTCTCTCAAACATTTTTTTTATCATTTTTCATCAAATTCCTTTAATTGATTAAATAAAAAATTCCATTAAAATATACTAGTAATCAAATAATGAAAAATGTTATTAATGAAAAATGAAAATGAAAATGGAACGTTTTAAATAATTATTCTTAAATTACTACTTGAAATAAAATCTACAATAGGATAAATTTTTCATCGTCTTTATTATCTTTATTATCTTATGTTACATTATATTTAAATATATAAACTTAAATATATTAACTTTTCATCTTTATTATATTATATATTATATTGCTAATATATAATATAATATATATTATATATTATATTATTTATATTATGACATATATATGTACAAAATTATTTATATAAAATGTATAAAAAGATTCAAAAATTTTAAGAATATTCAGTATTTATCAAAAGAAACAAAAAGTTTTTATAAACATATGTTTAAAAATTATTAATTTTTGAATTTTTGCTTGTTTCTTATGAGAAAATGGATCAAGTATCAGTTTTAACTTACGACCATCATATCGTGAGTCTAGAACATATTTTCTACAAAAATCTTCAAGCATCCGATACAATGAGAAAATTACGTGAGAAAAATTGTTCTCTCTTCTTGAGTTTCTCATAGGCAGCTCTTTAAAAGGATTCTTGAAACATTTAATCAATTTTTTCGAAATTTAAATAATATCTTTAGCTCCGTCTGAAGTCAAATTCACAAATTAGTTTCGAGATTACAAAACATAATAAATGTCTAGAAAGAAGGATTCAGCATATTTTCCATTAAAAAATAACAACCACGAACAATCAATTGTTCACAATGTGACATTATTTATACAATATATGTTCATTATATCTTCCATTTTAATACACGTTTCATTATTTTTCATAGAAGTGCATCGATTTAAATCCAATAGATTTTATCTGATTATTTTATAATGATAAAATATAGTTTTCAATAAATCAATAGCTTTGTTAAATGAATTAATATAACGATGATAAATCGAAAAAAATAAGAAAAACATCGAATATCTTTCAATATAAGCGTATTTCTAAAAAAATGTGTTAAAATGTATATTAACTGACTTCTGGAATAATTAATTATTTAGTTTTAAGCAAAATTTTTATTATTTTTGATTTTCTGTTTAAAATTTTTATTTTTATTGCAAAAAATTTAAACATTTATCTAAAATATCATTTGTATAATAAATTAAGAATTATAATAAATATGTTAAAATTTTTTAAATTTTTTTTTTTAAAATCAAAAATAATAAAAAAGATATATTAAACATTATATTGTAAAAATAATAAAACTCTCTCAATGATAAAAACATTTCTTCTAAAAATTATCTAAACTTATAGATATTTAAACTTTTGTTATGATTTTTTTTTTGTGATAAATATTATATACTTCTAAGTTTATTTCAAACTTTTTTGTATATTCTATAAATACAATATAATTACCTACAGTTATTAATAATTATTATTATTATACTAATTATACCAATATATAACTTATTATATTATTATATTATTATATTATTATAAATTCATAAAATGAATTTTAATTTGTGAATTTATTTTCTTTTTTAATATTTTAATTATAAATTTTCAAGTATTTATTTGATATTATTTTGCAACAACTTCTTTTTTTTTGAATGTATAAATTATATAATGTAAATTATATAATTTTTTAAAATTTTATGAAAGGAATTTTTATATATTAATAAAAAATACATATATATATATTTTTTTAATGTATTACAGTTTTATAAATTATATTATTTTGATATATATTTTACATATTGATATAATATTATGTGAATCATACTAAATATATGATAATTTATACATTTTTTTTATTTATATATATTTTATGTATATATTATACAGAATAAATACATATATAACATAATTAAAATTTAATTCATATATAAATATCAAAAAATAAAAATTATTAATAAAATTATTAATATTCATAGATATATAAACTATAGTAAGTATATCATAGTATTAAATATAGTTTAAGTATTTGAAAGAAAATAAAAAAGAATAGAATTTTCAAAAATTTATTTAGTAGATATTTCTTTTAAAAAATTAATATATTCTGAACAATTTAATGTATTACATAATATATATATGAAAAATTAATAATTACTATTTTATTTCCATAATATATATAATCTTATAAAACATATAATTAATTGTGATTCCAATTGAATTGATACTGGAAGTAAAGTAGAATATAATATTTTAAATAATGATTTATATATATTATATGTATAATGTTACAAAATGACGAGAATTGGGATAAGTTTCATTATTTTTTTAAATATATCTCAACAATGTTTTGTAAATATTGCAAAAATTAAGGCGCTGTATAAGAAAAGATTTTTCAAAATAATGATCTTGACAATAATTAATTTTCGAATTATACAATTTCTTGTATAATATTCCTCTACACATTATTATACTTTCTTGAATACATTAATCTTGATTTTTTGAGAATAAAAAGATTGAGAATTTTAGATTATTTTCACATGTAAAATAAAATAATTTTTTTTAGGTTATTCTTATCTCACTGAGAATTAGCCAATTTCATTTATATTTAAAAAATTTTTAAATTTGATTTTCTCGAAAAAGAAACTAAACAAACAAAATAATTTTATATAATTTTTTTTTTATTTTTTCATAAGAAACCCACAATGTGGACATTATTCAAAGCTTTGTATATTACTTAGATCAAAAATAATCATAAAGCGATCATCATATTGGATGCTACTCGAGTTTTATGTTTTGTCGCAAATGATTGATTTTCACTTATTCTTAATCCATATTCTCGTTTCTTCATTAAAAGTGTTTATTCGTTTCAAACGTAGAATTTACTTTGTGTTCTAAATAAAATCTCACGGCTAGAGACACGGTCAGGATTTCCTGAAAAATAGATGTGCCGGGTGAAATTGTTTTTCCATGATAGTGGGGAAAACAATACCATTGTTTGCGGACGTGTTCAAGTTCTATCACTATGGAATCCGTGAAATTTTTGACACGCGATTCGATTCGGCCAGAAATCAGCCGAGCCATCGAATTTTCGAACGAATATGTGTTTTTTTGTTTCATACTGAGAGCTCTGAGCAGTTTTTCTGTTTTATACCAAGCCGTGTCGCTCGTTTAATTACCTGTACGCCGTTCTTTAATCCTGCTGTTCCGTTTAGCTCTTTGCGACCTAAAACAAATTTCATTCTTTTCACAATTCTGTCGTTTACAAAAGGACAGCATTGTAATTCTGTGATCTTGTTTTATATTACTTGATAATTGCTTTGCAAGTAATGTTTTTACGTTTATAGACAAGATATAGTGAAACGTTATTCGTCGATTTTAATGAAGCTTTGAAATAACGTTGCTAATTTATATATATATAAATGTTCAATATGTTTTTTTTTTTATTATTTCTGTTAAGAGATGAAGATTTTTTATAATTCTTGAAGATTTATTATTTTGCATGTTGATCAATTATGGTTCGATTGATGTGGAAATTTTTCTGTATAATTTATTAAATTTACAAATAGATACATATTGAAAATGACATTTGTTAATTTTATTTTTCTTCTTTTTAAAAGAACAGATAAATATTTTAAAATTATTAGTTGTTCTGCAATAAATTTAATTTTTCTTTAATAAAATATTTATTGTAGATTATTATATATGTAATTATTTTCT